CATACTGGCTAGAGTTCTCCCTTGGTTGGTGGAAGCCGACATCCTATCCACTAAACAAAAGGCGTACATCAATAGACAAGGTATGAATGAGCATGTATTTTGCCTGAAAACAGGGATAGATGATTTTAAGCACGAGTCTTGGAGATCAACGACACTAAATGTGCTGTTCTGTACGAGAGGAGAAGTGGAGGGAACAGGTGGTACCGTTCAAAAACTGATAAATGCCCAGTGTTTACAGTAGCAACAAAACCTGTACGTGTATATTCTCTTCATGAGACATACACTTATCTTGGACATTAAATTAACATAGCAGGAGAATGGAAGGAGCAAGTAAGCATAATTTTGTCAGAATTTACATCTAGGCTGGATTTGATTGACAAATGCCCTCTGCCACTGACTATGATGTTAGAGGCTATTAGACAGGTGGCGCTGTCTAAAGTACAACATCTATTCTCCAACGTTCATATCCAACAGAAAGTGCTGAGTGAAATGAATAACAAGACAGTGAGATTAGTGCGAAAATGGTTTGAACTGAACACGCATAGTACCCGTGATATTATTTTTCACCCCCAATGGGAAGGAGGGTTGGGGGTACCAAACATGATCTGGATTTATACCAGCATGCGTATTTCCCATCTTCTGAACATGCTGAATAATGATGACAAGGAAGTGAGAGAGCTGGCCCGATCCTCCCTGTTCCTGGACCTCCGGAGACGCAAGGTGCCGCTGGCCAGAGAGTCAGAGACACACTTCCTTGGCTTTAAGAGAAAATCCAGCGGGAAACTTGACACCCAGTCTGCCGGCTTTGGCGTCTGGTCAGACTGGCCGGACCTGAACGACCTCTGTGTCCGCACTGGAGTGTGTGCGGTCTGACTCTGGGATTGTGAGGGTCTCCGAGGACATCATCACTGACCCCCTGACCTCTGTCAGGGCCACAGCCACATACGGGGGTCACAGCTACACCCTAACATCCACAGGGGCCCGGCCAACTCTCCTGACCCCGTGACCTCTGTCAGGGCCACAGCCACATACGGGGGTCACAGCTACACCCTAACATCCACAGGGGCCCGGCCAAATCTCCTGACCCCGTGACCTCTGTCAGGGCCACAGCCACATACGGGGGTCACAGCTACACCCTAACATCCACAGGGGCCCGGCCAAATCTCCTGACCCCGTGACCTCTGTCAGGGCCACAGCCACATACGGGGGTCACAGCTACACCCTAACATCCACAGGGGCCCGGCCAACTCTCCTGACCCCGTGACCTCTGTCAGGGCCACAGCCACATACGATGGTCACAGCTACACCCTAACATCCACAGGGGCCCGGCCAACTCTCCTGACCCCGTGACCTCTGTCAGGGCCACAGCCACATACGATGGTCACAGCTACACCCTAACATCCACAGGGGCCCGGCCAACTCTCCTGACCCCGTGACCTCTGTCAGGGCCACTGCCACATACGGGGGTCACAGCTACACCCTAACATCCACAGGGGCCCGGCCAACTCTCCTGACCCCCTGACCTCTGTCAGGGCCACAGCCACATACGATGGTCACAGCTACACCCTAACATCCACAGGGGCCCGGCCAACTCTCCTGACCCCGTGACCTCTGTCAGGGCCACAGCCACATACGATGGTCACAGCTACACCCTAACATCCACAGGGGCCCGGCCAACTCTCCTGACCCCGTGACCTCTGTCAGGGCCACAGCCACATACGATGGTCACAGCTACACCCTAACATCCACAGGGGCCCGGCCAACTCTCCTGACCCCGTGACCTCTGTCAGGGCCACAGCCACATACGATGGTCACAGCTACACCCTAACATCCACAGGGGCCCGGCCAACTCTCCTGACCCCGTGACCTCTGTCAGGGCCACAGCCACATACGATGGTCACAGCTACACCCTAACATCCACAGGGGCCCGGCCAAATCTCCTGACCCCGTGACCTCTGTCAGGGCCACAGCCACATACGGGGGTCACAGCTACACCCTAACATCCACAGGGGCCCGGCCAACTCTCCTGACCCCCTGACCTCTGTCAGGGCCACAGCCACATACGATGGTCACAGCTACACCCTAACATCCACAGGGGCCCGGCCAACTCTCCTGACCCCGTGACCTCTGTCAGGGCCACAGCCACATACGGGGGTCACAGCTACACCCTAACATCCACAGGGGCCCGGCCAACTCTCCTGACCCCGTGACCTCTGTCAGGGCCACAGCCACATACGATGGTCACAGCTACACCCTAACATCCACAGGGGCCCGGCCAACTCTCCTGACCCCGTGACCTCTGTCAGGGCCACAGCCACATACGATGGTCACAGCTACACCCTAACATCCACAGGGGCCCGGCCAAATCTCCTGACCCCGTGACCTCTGTCAGGGCCACAGCCACATACGATGGTCACAGCTACACCCTAACATCCACAGGGGCCCGGCCAACTCTCCTGACCCCGTGACCTCTGTCAGGGCCACAGCCACATACGATGGTCACAGCTACACCCTAACACCCACAGGGGCCGGCCAACTCTCCTGACCCCCTGACCTCTGTCAGGGCCACAGCCACATACGATGGTCACAGCTACACCCTAACATCCACAGGGGCCCGGCCAACTCTCCTGACCCCGTGACCTCTGTCAGGGCCACAGCCACATACGGGGGTCACAGCTACACCCTAACACCCACAGGGCCCGGCCAACTCTCCTGACCCCGTGACCTCTGTCAGGGCCACAGCCACATACGGGGGTCACAGCTACACCCTAACATCCACAGGGGCCCGGCCAACTCTCCTGACCCCGTGACCTCTGTCAGGGCCACAGCCACATACGATGGTCACAGCTACACCCTAACATCCACAGGGGCCCGGCCAACTCTCCTGACCCCGTGACCTCTGTCAGGGCCACAGCCACATACGATGGTCACACCTACACCCTAACATCCACAGGGGCCCGGCCAACTCTCCTGACCCCGTGACCTCTGTCAGGGCCACAGCCACATACGATGGTCACAGCTACACCCTAACATCCACAGGGGCCCGGCCAAATCTCCTGACCCCGTGACCTCTGTCAGGGCCACAGCCACATACGATGGTCACAGCTACACCCTAACATCCACAGGGGCCCGGCCAACTCTCCTGACCCCGTGACCTCTGTCAGGGCCACAGCCACATACGATGGTCACAGCTACACCCTAACACCCACAGGGGCCGGCCAACTCTCCTGACCCCGTGACCTCTGTCAGGGCCACAGCCACATACGATGGTCACAGCTACACCCTAACATCCACAGGGGCCCGGCCAACTCTCCTGGACCCCGTGACCTCTGTCAGGGCCACAGCCACATACGATGGTCACAGCTACACCCTAACATCCACAGGGGCCCGGACAACTCTCCTGGACCTACATCAACATCTGCAGAAACAACACTGGACAGGCCTGAACCTTCAGGGGAAACTTGCGTGTCTCTCCTCCGCTGATCACTCTGTTTCTCACTCATTTTTTAAGAATACTGCACTCAGTGAGGACATTATCATTTTCACAGTAAAGGCCAGACTACAAGTTCTTCCAACCAGACTCAATCTTTCTATCTGGTTTCCTACAGCTCAGGTACCTCACTGTTTGCATCACACGTCAGAACAGATCACTGAAACACTGCCACACATCTTGAATGGCTGCCATGCCTATAAAGGAGTGTACATCGCACGCCACGACAGAATAGTGGATCTTATAGTGAAGGACATATCAAGCCATTTCTCATCTGCTGTAAAAATGTACAAAAATTCGTGTGTAAAATCATCTATGTTTCAGAAGTGTAATAGCCCTGAAACCTTTTCTCATCTGCTTGCAAATACACCAGATATTGTTGTGATTAATGAGGAGATCAGCGAGGTGTCCGTTGTGGAGGTTGCATGTACCTTTGACTCTAGTATGGAAGAAGCCTTTATGACTAAGATGATTAAATATCAACCACTTCTAAACATCATCTCAGAACTAGGTTATAGAGATGCGCGGATGGGCTATTATTTCATCCGCAACCGCATCACAAAACTCATCATCCGTCCGCCATCCATCCGCACCAACGTTTTTGACCAATTTTCAAAACCGCACCCGCCCGCCATCCGCTGATACAAGGCGCTGCTGATGACAGCCGCGAGACTAGAAACCGCCCGCCACCCGCCCGCCATCCGCTGATACAAGGCGCTGCTGATGACAGCCGCGAGACTAGAAACCGCCCGCCACCCGCCCGCCATCCGCTGATACAAGGCGCTGCTGATGACAGCCGCGAGACTAGAAACCGCCCGCCACCCGCCCGAATTTAATTTTTTTTTAAATTTTCGTCACGTCATCCGCCCGATCCGCGGTTTATCCGCGGAGTCCGCGGCTATAACCGCCAACCGCGCATCTCTACTAGGTTATCAGAGCCGACTTCTTGTGCTCATATTTGGCAGCTTAGGACACACACACACACAGGCTGGTTGTAAGGGGGCTTCAACAACTAGGGATGCCCAAAAAGAGGGCTAAACGGCTAGCAAAGCACTGCGCTCTGTCTGCTATTATAGGCAGACGTCATATCTGGCGGAGACGGTGCTACTGTATCCATAACAACTGAGTGATGCTAAATACTGTGAAGATCTGCTGTATGCCGCTTGTCCATGATTATGTGCATGCATTTGACTGCATCTATAGTATTTGTGTCCCTGTAAATCATTTCTTTTAAGTGGACTCAAATAAATAGTTAAAATGTGTTTCTGTGAGTGTGTGTGTGTGTGTGTGTGTGTGTGTGTGTGTGTGTGTGTGTGTGTGTGTGTGTGGCGCACCTGTGTGTCGGTTCTGGCTCAGGAACTCCACCTGCAGGGTCTGTGAGTGGTGTTGTGCGAGGGCGATCGGAGAGGTCAGCTCGGGGTCACCGGTGTCACAGCTCACATCAGCGCCGCAGAACACCAGAGCCAGCGTCTCACACACATCGCTGGACTGAACGTTGATGCACAGCGCCTGCGGAGAGAGAGAGAACCCCAGTGAGGACGTGTGTGTGTGTGTGTGTCAGAGTCACAATGAAGTCAGAGGTTTCTGAGAACGTGAAAATGGGATCTATGAGTGTGAACTACAAACAGAACCGATCAGACAGTGACATGACATGATCATCATGGATGTGTGTGTGTGTGTGTGTGTGTGTGTGTCAGAGTCACATAATGATTATGAGTGTGAACACTAAATGCTGCACTTCAGCACATTAATAGACTAAAATATCCAGCATGTTTTACTGCAGGAAACGACCGGGATCAGGCGAGTGGATACGGGAGAGAACACTGACACTGAACTCTCGTGGGAGACACTGGTGAATTTGTTACACAAACAACATTCATATTATCTAATTAAAAAACACAATATTTTAAAACAATATATAAATAACAAAACAAGTACTTTAAAAAAAAAAAAATCTGTTTTATATTAAAAAAATAAAACTAAACTACAGGTTTTTTTTATGACTTATTTTGAATTTATATTATTTTATTTATTTTCTTTTTCTTTTAATTTAATTTATTATTATACAATCTATAGTTTCTTATTATAATTATTAAAACTTTTAATATATACATTATGAATATAAGAATATATATTATCAATATATATATATATATTTATTAATATAGATAATATTATAATAATTTTTTTATTTAATATTAAAAATAAATAATATTAAAAAGTACTTTTAAAAGAATGAGTGATTCCTCAGTGATTGTGTAAAGTGAGAGGATGTTTGGACAGCTGAAAATCAGCCTCCACAATCACAGCAGGACACACACACACACACACACACACACACACACACACACACACACACACACACACAGGGAAACACTCTCTCACACACACACACACACACACACACACACACACACACACACACACACACACATATACACACACAGAGAGAGAGACACAGAGAGAGAGAGAGAGAGAGACACAGAGAGAGAGAGAGAGAGAGAGAGAGAGAGAGAGAGAGAGAGAGAGAGAGAGAGAGAGAGAGAGAGAGACAAACACTCACATACACTCACATTCACACACACACACACAGAAACTCACACACAGACACACACACAGACACACACACACACAGAGACACACACACACACAGAGACACACACACAGACAGAGAAACTCTTACACACAGACACACACACACACACACACACACAGACAGAGAAACTCTTACACACAGAGACACACACACAGACACACACACACACACACACACACACACACACAGACAGAGAAACTCTTACACACACACACACACACACACGCAGATGGACAGAGTAAATGAAACCAGACAGTAATTTGTGTAAACCACAGCTCATTTAAACACAATGTATGAGTCTCTTGCTCAACAGCACAAACACACACTATAAACCACACAGACATGAATCACACTAAAGTCCTTGAAACACAAACACAGATATAAACTCCAGGAATATTCCAGGTTCTTTATAACTAACTAAAGGAGGAAGCAGGAAAGACTCTATTATTCCTTCAGTGATAACGGCAAACGTGCTCAAATACCTCAGAGTTTCTGCTGTTTCACTGTGACTGAAACATGACCAGGAGGAACTGAATAATCCCAAGTGACTGATTAGTTGCTACTGCAGATCCTGATGCTCGCAACACCACACACACGGGTTTGAGTCCCACACATTAAACATGGGTTTGAGTCCCACACACACACACACGGGTTTGAGTCCCACACACACACACGGGTTTGAGTCCCACACACACACACGGGTTTGAGTCCCACACACTAAACATGGGTTTGAGTCCCACACACACACACAGGTTTGAGTCCCACACACACACACGGGTTTGAGTCCCACACACTAAACATGGGTTTGAGTCCCACACACACACACAGGTTTGAGTCCCACACACACACACAGGTTTGAGTCCCACACACTAAACATGGGTTTGAGTCCCACACACACTAAACATGGGTTTGAGTCCCACACACTAAACATGGGTTTGAGTCCCACACACACACACAGGTTTGAGTCCCACACACACACACAGGTTTGAGTCCCACACACACTAAACATGGGTTTGAGTCCCACACACACTAAACATGGGTTTGAGTCCCACACACACTAAACATGGGTTTGAGTCCCACACACACACACGGGTTTGAGTCCCACACACACAACATGGGTTTGAGTCCCACACACACACAACATGGGTTTGAGTCCCACACACTAAACATGGGTTTGAGTCCCACACACTAAACAAGGGTTTGAGTCCCACACACTCAACATGGGTTTGAGTCCCACACACACAACATGGGTTTGAGTCCCACACACTAAACAAGGGTTTGAGTCCCACACACTCAACATGGGTTTGAGTCCCACACACTAAACATGGGTTATAAAAAACCGTGGTCTATAAAACCACACCCGAACTACCCAATCCAGACGATGAGTGTGTGTGTGTGTGTGTGGGGATGATGA